CTTTCTTTTTCAGTCAACTTTTCTGTGACCATTCATTAACTGAAGCTACTGACTCTTAAACCAAAGTGGAAAATTTAGAGCAGGCAGATATAAAAATGTTCTGTCATTGAGGAGCTCCAATTGCTGAACGAAATTAAATCATTATATTTTTCCAATGCATGGATAATACAAGATGCTGTTATAATTTCCATGGAGTCCAATAAACTTTAAAGATAGTTGAGGTTCTAGTGACTGACTGGATAGATCACATGACAACATTTCAAGTTTTTGACTTTTACTGAATCAAACATACTAAAATCAACGTAAACATTATTTCAGTTGACAAATCATACTCCAAACAACTAGAAAAAGACCCCATTGTAACTTTGAATAACACTGAAAATTTCACCATAATATTTTGTTTTGCCCCTTAACTGGACCCTTCCTATTCCGAGAACCAGTTCAAAGCTATCCTCAGATCCTAATAGCTTGTTTCCTTTACCCTTTTTCAGGCGGATAACTTCTGATCTCCAAACTGACTTTTGTGGTGGAGGCGTCATTTGTTTCTACCCAGAGTGAGGTGAGTTGTCTAGCCTTGTTTATATCCTCACGAACTTGGTCACTTGAGTCCAATTGCAAGCTCCCACCTGCATTGTGCAGATGCCTAGAAGGCCATAATAATGCCCTTATTTCTTTGTAATTGCCTTTCTTTAAGTTTAGCAAAGTTATTGCTGACCCAATTTCCTCACTGTCACACTGAAAGCTAAATTCTATCATGTTATGGTCACTATTCCTACGGGATCATTTCATTCTGAGATTAATTATTAATTCTGCCTAATTATAAATTACCAGATCCAAAGTAGCCTGATCCCTGGTTGGATCCACAACATGTTGTTTTTGGACCAAGTACACATGTTGTTCCTCAAGGCCATTACTGCCAATTTGATTTTCCCAATCGGCATGAAGATTAAATTTATCCGTGTTCTGCCCCTTTTACAAGCCGTCATTATCTCCTGATTTGTTCTTTGCCTCACAGTATAGCTACTGTTACAGGTTGGTAGACTATTCACATCGATGTCTACTTTGCCTTATTATTACTTGCCTCAATTCATATGGATTTTACATCTTTTTTTAAAAATACACTCATGGGACGTTGCCCTTGAGAGGATAGTGCTAAGCTGTCTTCTTGAAGCACTGCTGTTCATGTGCTGTAGATAAACCTACAATTCTGTAAGCAAGGGAATTTCAGGCTTTTGACCCAGTGACACTGAAGCAATGGCAATATATTTCCAAGTCAGGATTGAGAGTAAATTGGAAGGGAACTTGCTGATGGCATTGCTCCTATATATCTGCTGTCCTTGTCCTATGAAATAATAGTAGTCGTGGTTTCAGAAGGTGCTGTCTAAGGTGCCTTGGTGAATTTCTGCAGTGCATCTTGTAGATAGTACATATTGCTGCTAGTGAGGGTCAGTGGTGGAGTGACCTTCTATTGCTAAGAAGGTGCTGCTTGATAGTACTGTTGATTACACCTTCCATCACTTAACTGACAATTGAGAGTAGACTGATGGGGTGGTAATTGGCCAGATTGGATTTATCCTGCTTTTTGCGTACAGGACATTCCCGGGCAATTTTCTATATTGTCAGGTAGATGTCAGAATTATAGCTGTAGGGGAACAGTTTGTCTGGGAAGTGGTGGGTTTGGAGCACAAATCTGCAGTACTATTGCCGAAAGGTTGTCAGGGCCCATAGCCTTTGAAGTATACAGTGCCTCCAACCATTTCTTGATATTACATGGAGTGAACTATGTTGATGATGTTGTTGATTGGACTGGATTTGCCCTGTTTTTTGTGTGCAGGGCATATCTTGGCAATTTTCCACATTGATGGGTAGCTGCCAGTATTGTTGCTGTACTGCAACAGCTTGGCGAGGTGTGTGAGAAATTCTGGAGCACAAGTCTTTTGAGTATTATTTCCAGAAAGTTGTCAGGGCCTCTGTCTTTTTTTTGCAGTATCCAATGCCTCCAACCATTTTTGGATATCATGAAGAGTGAATCAAATTGGCTGAAGACTGGTATTTGTAAGCTGGGGACCTCTGGAAGAGGCCAAGATGGATCATCCACTCAGCACTTCCGGCTGAAGATTGTTACGAAAGCTTCAACCTTATCTTTTGCACTGATAAGCTAGGGTCTCCCATCATTGAGGTTAAAGGTATTTGTAGATCCACCTCCTCTAATGAGCTGTTTGATTGTCTACCACCATTCAAGACTGGATATGATGGGACTGCAGAGCTTGGATCTGATCTGTTGTTTGTGGAATTGCTTAGCTCTATCACCCACTGCTTATACTGTTTGGCACATAGGTAGTCCAGCTTTTGTCAATCACTAGACTGACACCTAATTTTTAAGTATGCCTGGTGCTGCTCCTGGCATGCCCTCCTGTACTTTTGATTGTGCCAGAGCTGCTCCCCTGGCCTGATGGTAATGGTACAGTAGGGAATATGGGGCCATGAGATTGCAATTTTTGCATTGAGTATGATTCTGCTGCTGCTAATGGCCCACAGTGCCTCATGTATTGGTTCAAAATCTACAGTGATAGTGCTACACAATACAATGTAAGGTATTATCAATGTGAAGGTGGGACTTCATCTCCACAGGCACTGCGCAGTGGTCACTCTTAACGATGCAGTCATAGACAAATGCTCTGCAGCAGGCAGATCGGTGATGATCTTCTAATTCAAGATTATTTCTTGCTATCAAACTCATTCCATCTTGTATTAAAAAAAATAACCTCACCACCCTTGTCTTCTTGCCTGTCCTTCTGAAAAGTCCATATCGCTGAATATTTAGTTTCCAGCTTTAATCTCCTTGTAACCATGTCTCTGTAATGGTATAATATCTTACACATAAATCTCTATTTGTGCTGTTAATACATTTATTTTGTCCTGAATACTTCACACACTAAAGTAGAGAATCATTAATTTCAACTTCTACCCTTTTTTTTCCCTCTTTGACCCTCCTTGCTGCTTTTTCTTTCACCCATCCTGTCCCACTCTGGGTATCATTACTTACATAACTACTCTGCAAAAGCTGCCAATTCTTTTGCTTTGTCAACCTATATATGCCCTCTCCAGAACCACACCCATTTTATTTAGTTTAATGTCCTCTCCGCAGCCCTGGTTATTCAATTTGCAGGACACTGGTCCCAGCACAGTTCACGTGAAGCCCATCCCACCAGAATAGCTCTCCTCTGCTTCTGTCCTGGTGCCAATGCCCCACAAACTGATACCCAGTCCTCTCACGCCATGCATTTAACCTACTGACTTTATTTACCCAATGCCGGTTTGTCCGTGGCTCAAGTAGTGATCACAAGATTATTTTCTTGGAGGTACTCCTTTCTAATTTAGTTACTAATTATTCAAATTCATCTAGTAAAATCTCCTTTATAGTCCTATCAATATCACTGATACCAACATAGATGACAAAACTGCAACCCTTCCCTCCTACTCCAAGTTCCTCACCAGCCCTGAGATGATGTCCTGGCACTGTGCAGGCAACACAGACTTCAAGACCAAAGTTTTCAACTGCAGAGAACAGTATCTATAACACTACTTAAGAATATCAGCACAGGATTCAGTAATAATAATATCTAATATCAGCAGAATCTAAGACTATCTAGGCAAAACATGCAATATGCACATCACAGTCTACATTATCCGACTATCGGTACTATTGTTAAAAACAAACTATTTTGAAGGTTGTTGTCAGTATCATACTAAGATCTGAGCTAAGCATAGCTCACTTTCAAAACACAGATTCCATTGATTCTACAATTCTCATCCTCAGATTCCTACAACCCTCCTCCTACTCAGACAGAGACAATTGGCGTAGGCCTGGTGCTATAAACACAATTTGGGATTAGCGAACACCAAGGGAAGTGGTTTAAGCAGAAGGATAAAACAGACTTTTAGCTATCGTATTTCTGAGGCCTGGGTACATCTCCATGAAGTAATTTTCTTTTATCTTAGCCAGGTTCCAGCTCCTAATTGCAAGCTAGTGATGCTCTATAGATTGCACTGGCATTGAGGGAAGGTACATTCTCCTGGGTTTTGCTATGATCCTTCCCACTCGACCAGCCTTCTATATTCACTGGCTAGACTTATGAAAAGTAATTGAAAATGAGAGACACTGCAGTCCACTGAACGAAACCAAATGCTAAGTTGGTGTTTTCAGGGGAACAGAGTAGAAGAGAAATTTGACGGAAAAGGGAAATTCAAGGATGAAACTTTGCAATCTACAAATCAGATAAGGCAACAGTTTTCATTCAGCTTTAATATTTATTCCCTTATTGCAAGACCTGATTTTACTACATTCTATCACCATATATGAAGTCTGCTGTCTTCATTATTTCATTAGCTCTTGCTTACAGATATGCAGACACAATGGCAAGTTGACCTTCTGGGGCTTATAGTTTTCTAAACCTGCATGAAATTTATATACATGCGGATAATGGTTGAACAAATGTTGACAATGGTGCCAGTTCAGCAGCTCACACTTCCAAAAAAAAGGATGAGAAGATAATAGATCTTACACACAAATATATGCAAAGCCATTCATTCTGACCTTGACATTAATCTATCTAACTTTAAACTACAACAATCATCAAACAGTAGCAATTATTGTGAAATGAAGAGGTCAGACTTTGTGATTTTCTTGGCTATTCATTCTGCAAAGTAATTCTGTTTCCTGGAGATGGGTTAGAAATGTACACCCACCACACCCCACTCAAAAAATAAATTCCTGGCTGAGAGCCCAAGTGGCTGCCTAAAAGAACCTGCAAAATCACACAGT